TTCTCCGCTCATAAAAATATAACAGCAAAAAAGTATGCGGAATACACAAATGACGGTAGTTTCCACTTATATCTCTGCCAGTAATGGTATATGCTACTAATAGAAACTTCCTGAATTATTTAACATTTATAATGCAGAACATAAACATGTTGCATTAACCAAATCGGCCATAAGGAAATAACTGTTTTAGGCCTTTGGAGAAGTTACTGTTGCAAAACTCTTTAAAGGAGATTGGTTGTCATGTCAAGAGAACAAATACAATAGACCTATATGTTGTCAGGTTGCATATATGGACTCCATGCTCCCTCTAGCCGTCAGTAACATGAGCAATGAAAAGGCTTTGGTCATGTGTTGAAGAGCCTGGAGGACTCATGTTTGGGCAGAGCCAACTAATTAGCAGGTTTGTCTCTCAACAGGTAAGCTGGCCAAATACAGATTAATTTTCTTTCCTGCAACCACAGTGTTGATGGGGAAATTCCTCCCGTAGAGCCACTGTATTCTCCCAGCAGGGATTAGTGTTAGTGGCGATAATAGCCGCTAACAATAATCACATATAAAATTAGACAGGCTGGTTGTACTCAAGTTGATTGTTTGATCAACTTGGGTACATGCAGCCTGCCATGCATGGTTCGAATCTCGGCTGGTCCCTGCTGAACTGGCTGAGATTTGGACGGTCTATGGCTGGCCTTAACCTTCCTCCTGGTAACACAAAGGTCTGGGGGAGCTCAGAGTAGTATTTCTACAAACAAAAAAAATTAGTAATGGGAAGCTCTTCAGGCATTAAAAAGTGGAAAGAAAGAGGATTTGTATATAGTAATTTGTGACTTTTTTTTAGAGATCATTGATGGAAGAGGCTACACTGCTGGATGAAATCAATGGTCAGCTTTTTGCCTGAACCATACAGAAGCAGAACATTGTGTGGGACAGTCTTTATTTCCAGAATTGTATTTATTTACTTTCTTTTCTGAGGAACTGCGTCCAAAAATCAGACAGTGGTACATATGTAGCACCCTTATAGCTAGGTAAATTTAGTTTTAGGCTTCTTCTGTAATCAAGGAAACAGATTGCATGCTCTGGTCTGTTCAGGGTTTCATAGGCTGAGAGTTTTATTGACTCTAGTAGAAGTTTTTAGAGCTTAGGGAGGGAGAATTCAAATAACCAACCTGAATATTGATCAGGGCCTATCCAATCTCTGGGGAGGTATGCCCAGATGGAGGCTGGGGAAGCTGATAAATAGTCTGAAGCTCTCAAGAGATTGTCTATCCTCAGTAAGGAGAGTTTCCAGCCTGAGAGGGGACTGCTACCCCTGTGAGGCAAGCCTTGGATTGTGCTGCTGTTCTCTGATGTCTCTGGGCTGGAGACCTGGAAAGGACCTGGAACTTGCTGCAGGACTTCACCAATTGGATCTGGTCTTGAGAAAGATTTTTCTCACTCACTGGGAGGTGTCTGGAGGAAGATGAAAGGCGTCAGCTGTCCTGGGGACTTGTGACTAATGACCCTGTACTCATTCCTGGTGACTGTGTGCTATTGGAACAAAAGTGCCAAACGTTGCTCTGACTGAGACAGCTCTCATAGGGCCTCAGATACTGGCCATTCCCCTGTCCTAAGCAGGATTCTGGACTGTGAGCTTTTTGAAGAGTGCTTTCCTGTAGTGTGCAGTGTTCCTAAAACTGTACTGGTTACCTACAGCTGTGCAATTGTGCAGAGTAACAAGGTGACAAGGAGACTGTTTTTTGGGTGACTGGCAGCCACTGTACTGTTTGGGAAAGAACCAGTTAATTTCAGCACCCCTTGTGGGGGTAGTGCTACTTATATTTTCATCTTGCCTATTTATGAATCAATTTTGTGTTTGCCTGGAGTTCCTTTTTACATTTCCAGCTTGGTTTGGGACAGTAAAACAAGAGAAGCAACTGGTGTAAAAAACGAGAAAGGCTGTGTGGATTATCGTGCCAATGTCATTAGCACAGATTGATTAAGTGTTTTGCCAAAGGTCATACAATGCATGTCTTGTCTTGCTGTTTCTTGGATGACGGTCCAATGCCTTGCCACTGAGTCACTTTTCCATTCACACTTCTGAATTGGCTGTTATCTAACACGTTTAGGCACTGCCAACATTCAGGCACAGCTACACAGGCGACTTTCATTCTCAGAGCTCCTAATTTGTGCTACTGCAAAATATTGCTGGTCAAATGCTGAGAGATTAGTCTCATGAGATTAGTTTTGCTTGGTGTACTTAAAATGGCAAAAATCATCCAATAATTTCATGACTGAGTGGTTAATCTCCATATCCTATTTAAATCTATTGAGATTAGGTGCTCTTTCTGTGATGAGATTAGAGCCAATTTACACCTACAATATTTGCTGCCCTTGTTTTTACAATGGAAACCATCCAATTATGTGGCGATAGCTCGCCACCAAATGATAGCATGCCATTTGCAGCCCAATTATCAGCAGATCCCGTTTTTGGACATATATTTAGATTTTCCCCCTCTTGCAGACTTTATCCATCTGCTCTGCCAAAATACTATATTTTTATAGCAAAAAAAATGTAGTTGTATTTTAAAGTTGAAATCCAGGTGGATATAAAAAGACATACCTGTAAACCAATACAGCTCTATATAAATTAATACATCATTAAATGTATCGACTGGAATTTGACTTGGTATCAGCTTCTTGCAGTCCCTGTACTGTGAGAGAGAGAAGCGATACAAGGATCCAATCACCAGGGCGGCTGCTAGACCATTTTGCACCCTAGGCAAGACCAGCTACTTGCACCCCCACTCCCCCCAAAATATAAAACGTCAAATAAAACATCAAAATAAAACTCCACATGGAGCTAATTCTTGCCAATGTTAGCTCTCTGTAGAGACTGAATGGGGAGCTTGTAGGAAGTGACGTTGCGCACAGCATGGCTTGCATGGCACCTCATTGGCTGGATACCTCTTCTTCACGTTTTGGCTGAAGTGTGAAAAATATGGCTTCATCTCCAGCTAACATCATCCAGTCTTGTCTGGGGAGAGTGACACCAAGACCCAGAAGTGACATTTTACACGTCACTTCCGGGGCATCAACTGGAAGCGGAGATCAATGAACAGATGTTTGCTGATCTCGCTCCCTTCTACCAACGGCACCCACCATGCAAGTCCCAGGTCTGCTGATGTGAGCGCGGGGCCCGGGAAGCATTTCAGGGCACATGGGGGTTGTGTAAGTAATCCAGAGGCTGCTGGATCATTTCCACCTGACAGTCAGATTTACACACACTTAATGAGATGCTTCCTGTTAGTTCTTATTTACTCTTGTATTTGAGGGACATTAAAAATGTGCAGCTGAGCCACACTTTTACTGCAAAGTAAACTCCCCTTTATACTGCAAAGGCACTTCCACTGTAGTATGGCAGCAAGTGGTTTTACACAACACCCTGCAACTATTGCCATACTATAGTGGCAGTGCCTTTGCAGCATAATGGGGAGTGCTTGAGGGATAGTAAAAGCGTGGCCCAGTCACACATTTTTAATGTCCCCCAAACACAAGTGTAAAAAAGAGCTAACAGGAAACATCTCCCTGTGCCTATGTGATCATCATCATTACCATTACACAATGTGCTGTATGTCTGTCTTTAAATTTTTTTAGAAATTGTGAGCTTGCCTGTGCCTTGGGTCCCCATTGCTGTTTGTGCTCTCAGCCACCTCTCTGTTGAATCAGCGGAATCAGTTGAATAGCCAGGTACAGCCTTGCCTTACGCCCTCTGATGCAGAGAAGGGACAATTACTCCACCTATGAAAGGCTGTGAGCAGCCATAGTCGGCCGCCACTGATCAGCATTGTGAAACACAGTGTGGCTTTAGCTGCCTACGCCCAAAATTAAAAAAGAGTCCCTCTTTGCTCTTCGCCTTCTGGGCACCTCTGTTGAAATGATGGGGCTCAGGGAAAATAAAATGAATGTTACAGCAGGGCCAGCTGTACTGCCCTATCAGCAACCCTGTTCGTGGCTACACCCCAAAGTGGTGGTGTGCCGTAGGCAGCTGCCTCATTTGCTTAGTGGCAGTGCCTGCCCTGCCAATCAGGTATGCTGCAGTGCAAGGAGCATGCTGATAGGAGGAGATTGAAAAGTGACAGAGTGAAGAGCGCATCAGTCTATTGTTTTTTCTTTCACTGTCCAGTCATAGGGTGGGGGTCTTGAGAAGACCTTTAAGAGCCCATTCACACCAGATGCATTTGTTTGTGTTCATAAATACATTGAAAATGTATAGTCAATACAAATAGGCTAAAACACATTTCAGGGTGCACCTAACCTGACATTATACTAAATGTAGCCCAACACAGCCAGCAGCATCAAAGCAGCTGTAACAGGCCCCCCCTCCCCCCAGCTGCAGTGGCCATGCCTGGGGAGGACAGAAAGATTGAAGGAGTAACAGGGCTCCAGGCTTTGGGTGCCTGGGAAAGAGGGGAAAAGCTGCAGCTGGGGCTGCTGGAAAGACCCTGTTCACTGCCTGGAGAGCAGAATGGGAAAGCTGTGGTTTTCTGTAGGCACAGCCTGAGGAAGAACAGCCAGTCTCCCAGCTGGAGAAGGGTTGTGGGAGCTTCAAGGAATGCTGGGAAAGGTAGTCCCCAAAAGACTAAGTGTAATAAGTGTAGTACAGAGGAGACTGTGTGGGACCTTATGTCCCAGGAGCTGGGCAGGTGCACAAGGAGGAAAAAGGACTAGAATCTCCGGTTCTAGAGGTGTTCTCCATATAGAGAGCTGCTGGTGTGCTGTTGAAGCTGCTAACACTGCTGACTTCCAGTACTCCTGAAGTCACTAGGTCAGGATTGAATTGCTGTACCTGCCAGGAACTACCCAGCCGGAGGGACCACTGGGCATGTTCAAGAGACCATACCCAGGATCACAGGCTACAGTGTTCAGTCAGAGCCAGGGGCGGATAGACCATTTGGAAACTCGGGCACTGCCCAAGGGCCCGGGGTCAGTAGGGGGCCCCAAAAGATGCCCCTGGTACCTTTTTCATAGGCTTTTTTGAGTTTGGGCAAGGACACAGGGGCCCCATGATTCCCTATTGCCCGGAGGCCCCATGAGTTGTCAGTCCGCCCCTGGTCAGAGCTACTATCATTGCCCTCAGAGACTGCAGGTTAATTATATAGTATGTCCATTGTTCTGGATGCCCACGAGAGGAATGAGGCTGCAGGTTGAACTTCAGATTGGTGAGAGTCCACTGGCCACCATCTTTCCTATACTCCAATTTACCGAGACATCACCACCCCAATCTGGAACGCCTAGGGATTTGTGTTGAGGATTACTCCTCCTTTCGGAATTACAAAAACTCTGTTTAAGAGCACTCCCCTCTTTACCCAGCTTTTTGGTACCCATGAAATTAGGTTTGATAATATCCTGTTTGTAAATGTTATTCTTGTAACTGCTTTTTGCTATTATTTATTGTTATCATCTCTATTACTTACTCTTTTGGGCATTTCACCCACATAAACATCCTTTCTTTCATCCTTGGTATGTCAGACTGTGTGGTGCCACCTAGAGGGTCATTGGCACTAAGAATAGGGGACCTGAACAACAGCAGCTCCTTCAGGGGGTACTGCTACAAATTTTACGCTCACCCCTTTCAGGATACTGTATACTGTACTTGGTAACAAGTGATAAAGCTTGTAATAATCTTTCTTCAGTAACAAGGACTGAGATTCAGAAGTGAATCATAACCATGAGGTTGTTCTTTGCATGAACCATTTTACAGCTATCTGGAGTTTGAATGACTAAACACAAAGAAATTGAACTAAGTTGTGGTAGAATGAACACGATGGTCACTTCTGAATATAGCTTTCCCAGTACAAGGTGTGGCCATGTATGGAGCTGACATCTGGAACTATTCTGATTTCACAAATAACTGACACAACCACATACATTTAACCATATAGTGACTTGTTATTTTTCATTTTACTTATTTAAATCTTATTTATATATGTTCTTTGTATATTTCTGGTATATAGATCAAAGGAGAAGTTTGAACTTCCCTTTTATAGGCCTACTAGTGCCTGTCATTTTTCTCTTAGTCCCCCTGTAAAGTCTCAAAAATACCTGCTGATCCAGCTAGTGAAGTATTTTTAGCATTATCCTTCAGCAGATGGCTCAGATCACAGAGAAACCATACAGAGCTGCTTGCTATATGATCAAGGTGATGACCAATATAGCACCCTCTACCCCTAGTAGTGCTACTAGGGTAGTGTAGGTAAATTTATTGTGTATGACTCAAGATAACTGTGCGAGTCTGTAATTAGTTTGGCTTACTGCAGGCCAAGCTGGATAGCTTAACAGGTTGGGACTCAATCGTGTCCACCTGGTTGTGGAGGACCAATGGAACCTTCCAGAAGCCAGTGGCCATAATGGATAGAGACCTAATCTGCATGTTTATAGGAGACTAACCAATCCCAGGTTTGGAGGCCCTGGATTACATTCATTCATCCAGGCATATGCCAAGATTGCATGCTGCAGTAGATTTTGGGTGTGAGGAAGAGAGCAGTTCTTACATTGTCCAGAGGATCATAGTTAAATATTGTTGCATAGTTAGTCAGGTTGAAAAAAGACACAAGTTCACCTAGTTCAACCAATTAAAAAAACTACACAAATAGAAAATCTCCATATACACTATACGCATAGTTGACCCAGAGGAAGGCAAATGAAAACAATAAAGCATGATCCAATTCCCTCCAGTGGGGAAAATAAATTCCTTCTTGATCCCACAGGAGGCAATCTGATATTCCCTGGATCAACAACTCCTGGTGTTATTGCTTATAAAATTAGTATCAAGTTATATTTTGTGCATTTAGAAATGCATCCAGCTCCTTTTTAAAACAATCTACTGAGCTGGCCAGAACGAGCTCTTGAGGTTGTCTACTTCCCATTTTCACAGCTCTTACTGTGAAGAAGCCTTTCCATATGTGAAGGTTAAATCTGTTTTCCTCCAAATGTAAACAGTTCTCCCTTGTCCTCTGTAATCACCTAAAGTGAACTCTACACAAAGCTTGCTATATGTATGACATATGTCTTTATACATATTGACCATATCCCCCCTTAACCACTTGCCGACCGCCCACAGTAGTGTTGCTGCAGACAGGTGGCATGTACAGACAGAGTGATGTACTGGTATGTCACTCTATCTGTACTAACACAGGGGGCGCTCCCCCGAGACCACTGTGTCTCGTAATCTGGACTCGGTGATCATGTGATTGCTATGCGATCACATGATCACAAGGTCAAAAAAGCTGTTATGAATCAATCTGATTCATAATAGCTTTGTTTCCCTTCCTAGCTATATATGATTGGCCCACAGCTCTGACATGGTACATGGGCCAATCACAGCTCCCTGTACCATGCGATTAGCTGTAGCCAATCACATATTACTAGTACTTTGAACTGTCATGAACCCATTGATCTTTATTGCACCTGGGATGCAAAGTGTAATAAAAAAAATCCCTAATCATCCCCCCAGAGTAGTACAATGTTACTACTCTGATGAAAGTATTTTTTTAAATAGTGGAAAGATGATAAAAAAAAATTAAAAAAGTGAGAAAACATTTTAAACATTTTTTTAAGGTTTTTTTAACTACTTGTTGACCGCCTGCTGACAATGTGTGGGCGAGCGGCGGCTCTAGGCAAATCGACTTACCTTTAGGTCAAGATCTATTTCCGGGTGTGAGCACATATGTGTGCCCCCCACTGAGTAAAAACACTACATTTTAAACACAGGAGTTAGATTAGCAAATTTAACCCTTTGATCACCCCTGCCACCCAGCCAGTGTCATCAGTACAGTGGCAGTATACAGATTTTATAACTGATCACACTATTACAGACATTTATCATGAAAACCTATCATGGTTTTCGAATTTACAACTTTTTGGGACCTAACCCTCAACATAGGCACTATAAAGAAGAATGAATTGCGGTCATATTGGTCCACAGACCTGATTTATCATTATTATTATTATTATTATACAGTATTTTTAAAGCGCCAATAGTTCGCTCAGCGCTGTACATTACAAAGGGGGACAGAACATGTGACAGAACAATAACAATACAATGCAAAACATGAGGGGATTGAGGGTCCTGCTCTTTCGAGCTTACAATCTAGGAGGGAGGGGATGGTGGCACAGGAGGAGATAGCTGTGGGGGATGGAGTGGTAGGAAGAGTGGGGGAGGTCGGCAAGTTAGCAGGGGGTGGGGTAGGCTTCCCTGAAGAGATGGGTTTTCAGGGTGTGCGCCTAAAGGAGAGGAGAGTAGGTGATAATCTGATGGGTTGGGGCAGGAAGTTCCAGAGGATGGGTGACACCCTGGAGAAGTCCTGGAGGCGGGCATGGGAGGAGGAGACCAGGGAACTAGAGAGAAGGAGGTCTTGTAAGGAGCGGAGTGTGCGTGCTGGGCGGTACGTACTTGGATATTAGGTCAGTGATGTAGTTCAGGGCAGTGTGGTGGATGGCTTTCTACGTCAGTGTTAGGATTTTGAATTTGATGTGTTGCGCAATCGGAAGCCAGTGGAGGGATTGGCAGAGGGGGTGGCGGAGATGGAGCGGTTGGAAAGGTGAATGAGTCTGGCAGCCGTATTCAGGATCGACTGAAGCGGGGATAGCCAGCGGCGAGGCAGGCCAGTGAGGAGGGAGTTGCAGTAATCGAGTCATGATATGATGAGGGAGTGGATGAGCTGTTTAGTGGTTTCTGGGGTTAGGAACGTGCGTATTTTGGGGATGTTGCGGAGGTGGAGTCTGCACGGGCTTGTGCACCTGTTCTCTGCTGCCAGGGCCAGGTATAGGTATGAGACAATAATATGTTTCATGCACTTCAGTGATAACACTCTAATGAACAACAAGGATCAGCAACGTACTGGTAGGTCGCTGGACTTGGAGTGGTTATACTGCAGCCATCATCCTGGCATTGTTTTTTAGCCAGTTGTCAGCTTTCATGTAATTTAAATTAGGAAAGCATCTGATGACACCGATCTTGGTGTGACTACATGCTTTAAGGGCAGAGGAGAGATCTAGAGTCTAATAGACCTCAGATTTCTCAGAAAAGAGGTCCCATGTTGGCATGTAAACTGCAATTGTACCATGCATGTGAGGTATCATGGCGAACGTCAGATCGAGGGTAGTAATTCAAGCACTAGACCTCCTCTGTAAATCTAAAGTGGTACCTTTAAAGGCTTTTAAAGCATATCATGTTTGGTATCTATTTGTTCAACAAAACATCAACTTTTATACTTTATCAAACAATTGGACAATATATTGTGTTTTTGTGCTTTAACCTCTTCATGCCGACAGCACGCAAATATGCGGCCTCTCGGCGGCTGGGCCTTGACTCCGAGTGGCCGTATATTTGCATACCATTTGTAAACAAACATGTGCTGAGAGCTTGTGCCCTGCGCACTCCCAGAACATGTGTCGGTGTCCCACAGAAATATCTTTCCTTGCGATCAGGACATTTCTGATCATGTGACTGCAGTGACATCCAATCATAAACCCCGTCCTGCCTCCCAGCATCAGAAACCCCTTAAAGGGCCGAGAGGCGCTGGCGTGAAGGGGTTAAAATTCCAAAAAGTGTATTTTTTCCAAAAAATGTGCATTTGAAAAATCGCTGTGCAATGTGTGAAATAAAAAATTGAAACACCCACTGTTTTATTCTCTAGGGCCTCTACTTTAAAAATATACATACAATGTTTGGGGGTTTAAAGTAATTTTTTAGCAAAAACATTTTTTCATGTAAACAAAAAGTTTCAGAAAAGGCTCTGTTTAGTGGTTAGAAGAGCGGGTGATGTGTTCCGGAAGCTTCTAATGTTGGCCCTGAAATGCCATTAAAGTAGAAGCACCCACCCAAATGACCCCTTTTTAGAAAAGTGGTGAGTATTTTGCAGATCTCATTTGTTACAAGTTTTTGGAAAATGCAGACAAAAAACGAAAATGTCAAAACCTTGTGACAACAAATATCTGTAAAATACTCTCCATGCCTCTTACCAAATTCCTTGGGGTGTCTACTTTTCAAAAAGAGGTCATTTGGGGGGAGGGGGTGTTTGTACTATCCTGGCATTATAGTGCCTTCGCA